TTATTGAGGGACCAAAAATGTGCAACTCACTAAAGTTGAGGGACCAAATTTAGAATTTAACCATATATATATATATATATATATATCCTCATCATAAGTCATTTGCGGTGGCATGGTTGAAAAACACATCTTTTGAGATTTTTTTTTCATCTTAAAATAATTGTTAATTACTTTAGACTAAATATAATATATATTTTTTTTACAAGGGTGATGGTTAAGAAATTAATTTTTAATTAGTTATTAACAACTAGGGATTCGATCTCCAGATCAGGTGAACATTCCACCTCTCCAATAAGGCACGCAGCCATCAGGTCGCTTTTGGTGGAGTTCAAGTTTTCAAGATGGTGGTAGATTTCGAAACCGCGACCACTTCACCCAAACACTTAAGGTTTGAGGTCAAACCATTATGTCTAAAGGCTCGGTTCGACTAAATATAACAATTGTTTTAAGATAGAAATGAAATTCATTAAATTGAGTGACATGCATGAAATTTGGTGTGATATTTTACAAAAGTACGAGAAATGATTCCATATATCATTAATTTGAAAGTCAAGTAATTAATCACTAATATGATTTGATAGTTATATAATATTAAATATATTTATTCATTTAATTATATATAAAAATAATATAAAAAATTTATCCTTAAATCATTTATTGTTATAAAATGAAGGCACGCTTAAGTAAAGAGAATATGTATGCAACCACCTTAATTAGTACTAACGTGCCACATTTAATGGTGTAATTTTTTTTTATTAGCAAAAAGATTTAATTTTTATTGGTCAATCATTAAACTAATTGGGGGTAGTTTTGACTTTTTGTTAACAAAATACAGAGACTATCTTCGATGGCTTTTGTTTGACTAAAATTTTTTAAGGTTAAATACTTTTTTTGGTCCTTCTACTATAGAAAAAAAAATTATTTTTTAATCACTGTATCGAAAAAATCCATTTTTTGATTTTTACTGTTTGAAATACAGTCTCTTTTTAGTCTTTCTGTCAGTTAAGTGATAACATGATACAATAATCCGTTAAATATCTTTTTTTTTTCTTTTTAATGGTGACATATGATTACATGTTGCAAAATTGACGAGTTGGCAATCAAATATATTTTCTATGTAATCAATAGGTTCTAAAATAATTAAAAGAAAAAAATCATTTTTTCCCTTTGTCTTTTCATTTCCCATTTCTATCCTCATCTTCTTCCTAAGCCCAAATCCCTGATCCTCTCTACTTTTGCCTAAACTTAATCCCCCTCTCATCCATTGATTTCTTCTTCTTCGCCAAACCTTCCTCCATCAAAGCCCTCAAATCTTCACACCAATATTCATCTCAATTAAAGCTCAAATCTTCATTAATTTGCCCTTATTTTCTTCCCCCTTTTGTCTTATCCTCTCCTTTCCCTCCGTTATCATCTCTTTTTTTAAAAAAAAAAAAAAAAAACCAGACGAACCCAGGCGTGACTCGGGTTCATTGCGCCCGAGTTCATCTTGGGTTCACAACGAACCCAAAGCACACCTAGGTGGGTTCATCATGGGTTCTTCGCGAACCCAGGATGAACCCAGCTCGCGCTTGGGTTCATCACGAACCCAAGTGCGAGCTGGGTTCTCAATCTCTGCCAACAAAAAAAAAAGCATGTTCTTCTCAAACAAACAACTCCAAAAACATCCAGCAATAGAATCATAAATGAACCAAGAGCAGCAAAAAATTCAAGAAATTAAAACATCATGAGACACACACATGAAAGCAAACTAAAATCTGTAAATTTTATTTATGGGTTCATAAACTTAGTACAATGAAAATCTCATTCAAACAGCCAAATCAAGTAGAATATTCCAAGATCTACAAGAAACAGGATCTTAAACACATGGGGCCAATTTCAAGGGACCGATTGCTTTTGGGTAGCCAGTGCATGCCTGGGTGGGGTGGGTTCATCGCGAACCCAGGTGATGGCTGGGTTTGTCTTGGGTTTGCGAGGAACCCAGGCTCTTAGGTTTGTGACGAACCCTAGATCTTGGGTTCCTCGCGAAGCCAAGATCTAATTTTCAGAAGGCAAAGTTGAAAAAAAAAAAAGAAAAAGGAAGGTCGGAGGAAGGAGAGGATGAGACAAAAGAGGGAAGAAGATAAGGGTAAATTAATAATTAAAGTCTCATAAAATAACCTTTAAAATATTTATAATGGTAATTATGTAATTAAATGATTGTTTAGGATATATTAGACAAAAAATTTTGCCATGTTATCAATTTTTACAGATGAATTTTCCATGTAATTTAAGTAAAGAAAAAAAATAAGTTTTTTCGTTAATTAACCTGTCACATCAAGTAAAATTTAACGGAGGGACTAAAAATGGGCTAGATTTCAAATAGTAAGGACCAAAAAGAGCATTTAACCAATTTTTTAATATGAAAGTCAGAACTTTGGATGCACAAATGTGGGGTTGACTCTATTTTTTTTGTTTTAATATGTTGCTTCATCGTCAATTATTTAAATAATTTAGTGGTAATCTCATTTCGTTAGTAGTAAAAGATTCTAAATTCGAGTCGTATGACATATGAGTGGAATTAGATAAATGATAAGAAAACATTGCCTCCCATTATACAATCAATATCAAAAAAATAAAAATATGTTGCTTGATCAATGGAATATCAATATATATATATAATTACGGCTCGGCGCATTAATAACCTCATATTAAAAATGTTTCAAATTTTGCCGGCCAGAAAGCAAAGTGTTTTTTAATTTTAAAAAAGGGAAGGGAGAAAAACATTTTATATCCTCGGCTGCTATGGGTCGGGTCTTCTCCAGTTAGTTTTTGTATATTTTAATATTAATATTTTTATAGACATATCTTTATATTAATATGATATATTTAAAAAAATTAATTTTTTAAAATATTAATTTAGTCTCTCAATTTTTAAATTTATATTAAAATTGTCCTTTAATTTCAAAAAATATTAAAATTGTCCTTAAACTTTAATTTTCAATATCAAAATAGTCATATTATTAACTGAAGTACTATAGGCTCATTATCTTGCCATAAAATTAGTTCTTTTTTAAAATATTAATGATATGTAAAATCAAACAACCATATTTTAACATCGTGGTATATTTTCATTTACATATTAAATTGATATGTAATTAAAGTTAAAAGACTAAATTAATATTTATAATCAAAGTTCAAAGATTAATTAAGTTGGTAATTATTTTCAAAGTTTAAGAACTAAATTTGTACTTGTTTTCAAAGTTTAAGGACTTGGCACCAAAAATTCAAGTTTGAGGGTAATTTTAGTACTTTTTGAAGTTAAAGGGTAATTTTGGTATGAATTTAAAAGTTGAGGGATTAAATTGATATTTTAACCATAACTTTACTACTAATAAAGTATCATATCAAAAGTTGATAAGTTTTATAGTGCAATTTTGTTAGATTGTTAACTTTTATGTATTCTGTAAGAAATTAGTATGAAGAAAGTTTGTAAAAAAGTTATTAAATAAGTTCTACACATGAAAAGTTTAAGAAAAACTTTCTTCAGTTAAAAAGTATAAAAAAAATTTTTAGGTTAGGAATTGTGTCTTGAAAAATAAAAACTAAAAATACCACATTTACATTTCTTTTGTTGTAGTATTAATATGTGAAAATACATAAATAACTTTATAAGAAATAAAGTTTAAAAAAATTTAAAGGAAAACTTTCCAACCAAATAGCCTCTAAAGATTTGTTTATGATATAAATTAAAAGTATAATAAATATATCATTTTGTAATTAATTTATATTAAAAATGTAAAAGTTAATGTTTATTTTAACATTATTAACATGTGAATATTTTTAATTAGTTAATTAATTAAACAAAAATCAATATTTACACTTTCTATAGAAATTAATTGTAAATATATATATTTATTGTACACTTAATATGTACCCTTAAAATACATGTTAAAAAAATTGATATTTTAAAAAATATACAGTTAACCTCTCAAAATTGTTAGTATTGAAGGCTAAATCTTAAAGACACTCGGCATCAAGTTGCCCGTTTACCAAACCACAAAGGATTCAAAAACATATATTCATGATTTGGGAGGTTATGACTTGTGTACGCATTTTCAAATTATAAAGGCAAAGTGCATATTTTGTGGTTTGAGGAGTAAAGTGC